CGGTCGTGGGGCTTGAACTCTGGGCCTGGGCACTGTCCCTCAGCTCTTCAGCTCAAGGCGAGCGCTCTACCACTTGAGCCACAGCGCCACTTGTATTGGTTTTAAATAACTATGCAGAGGTAAGGGGAAGAGAACTTTAAGACTGCATGTATTGAAATGAGATGGAGAAAGCACTCATAGTGTAAACAGTGGGAACTTTTGAATCTCCTAGCTGTGTGATTTTGACCAAGTCAGTCTCTCAAGCTGTTTTCTCATATATTTTTAATTTACTCATTCCTTCCTTAACTACTTACTTGTCTAGAGCATATGACCCTAGCGATAAAAGTTGCAGTCCTTGATTATTATCAAGGAAATTAGACAATTCAATACAATAAATACAAGGGAATAATCACTCTGACAGTATACTTGAAGTACTCTAGAAGCATTGAGGAGTGATGAAACACTCCCTGGAAAAATGATTTCCCATGAACTGAGACTTGAAGGACTATTTCATGTTTTCTAGTTAGATTAGGAATAGGTCACTGTTAAGCTTGGCTTCACTATATAAACATGCTATATATTCAATGAGTTGTTTTCAAACTGTCTTAAAGGCAGTTAATGATGATCCCTTAAATGAAAGGAATAATCTCTGGTCACAGTTAATTTTGGAGTCCTCCTTCCTACTGGGTCCCTAGACAGGAGCTCCAATCACTAGCCTTAGAGCTTATCTCCAAACCTTCTCTGTACTCTGAAATGCAAGAAAACTATGATCTAAACAAATAATATAGGATGGTGCAAAGTAACTTAGGTCCTACCTTAATTCTGCTACTGGCATATGTATATCTGTGTCTGTCTACCTACCTCTTTACCTCTTTTTCATTTTTCCTTGAATAATCTCTGTCCTTTTTACTTTTTAACATATACTTCCAACACATACCGAAATTAAACTCAAAGTACTTCTATATTACATGTTTTAATATGTTTTTTATTGTGAAAATACTATCCAGAGGGGTTACAGTTACATGAGCAAGGTAATGAGTACATTTAAGCATTGTTGCCTCCTCCTTTGTTTTCCCCCTACCATCCCTTTCCTCCCACATCCACAACTACAGTCCCCCTCTACCCTACCCCTCCCACCCCCGCCTAAATTGTAAAGTTTGTTTTTCAACATAGTGTCTTGTACATCTCTTTGTTACAGTGGGTCAACCTGTATCCCTATTTAAGCATTTTGTTTTTTCCCTTCCCCTCCCCAAATTATACTGACATCAAATACAGTGAAAACGGGTTATAACATGGGAGAGGAACATACAAAGCAACAAAAAATCACATGGTACCTTATAAATACATTAGAAACAATAGCAAGAAAGAAAAAAAACCACTTGTGTCCCTATCTTGGGGTTCATTTCACTTAACTTCATCTTATCTGGTCATATGTACACATTATAGGTACCTAATATTCTAAACCAGTACTGTACCTAGCTTTCA